CCGAACACCTATTTCACACTTTTGATGCTCTTCTATGCCCCTTTAATCCCCCTCCTTCTACCACCTTGTCCGCCACAAACTTTGCATCTCACTTCACTGAGAAGATCTCTACAATCAGAGAAGAGATCGCTAATTTCTCTCCTTCCCCTACTATTACATCACCCAAACCCACTCCCTCCACCATTCTACACTCATTCTCACCTGCTACGGCAGAAGATGTTTCTGCTCTGCTCCGGTCCTCCCACCCCACCACCTGTTCCCTCGATCCTATTCCTTCATATATCATCCGCACTATGTCTCCCTCTCTTGCTCTTCCCCTCACTAAAATTTTCAATCCCTCCCTTTCCTCTGGCACATATTTCCCTCACCCTTTAAACATGCAACTGTTACCCCAATTCTGAAAAAGCCCAGCCTTGACCCCAACTCTCCATCCAACTACCGCCCTATCTCGCTACTGCCTTTTGCCTCCAAGACCCTCGAGAGAGAGTTGTGTTCACCAGACTGACTGACTTTCTCGAAACCAACTCTCTGCTTGACCCCCTTCAGTCTGGATTCTGCGCTGGTCATTCTTTTGAAACAGCTATGACCAAAGTATCAAATGATTTAATTGCTTCGAAATCTCACTGCCATTACTCTATCCTAATTCTCCTTGATCTTTCTGCTGCCGTTGACACTGTTGATCATCAACATCATCTTCGCATTCTCCGTAATTTTGGTCTACGGGATACTGCTCTCTCCTTGTGCTCCTCCTACCTCTCCCAGCGCTCTTTCAGTGTTTCTTTCTCTGACTCTGCCTCTTTCCCCCAACCACTCTCTGTCAGCATCCCCCAAGGTACTGTCCTTGGTCCCCTACTGTTCTCTATCTACACTGCCTCCCTTGGTAAACTCATCAGCTTCTTTGGCTTCCATTATCATTTCTATCTGAATGTCCTCTCCTGATCTCTCTCCGCCCATCTTGACTTGCGTCAATAGGCGTGCGCAGCCTATTGCATTAGGGTGTGCACCCTAAAGCACAAGCATACGCCGCGTATATATATGTATGTATGTATATATATGTATATATATATATATATATATATACACATATATACACACACAAATATGCTGCTGTGTGAGGGTGCTGTTATTGTGATGTGTGTGTGAGGGTGCTTGTAGTGTGCTATGTGGGTGAGGGTGTTTGTGTGTGCGCGCTTGTGAGGGTGCTGTTAATGTACTGTGTGTGAGGGTGCTGTTTGTGTGTGCACTTGTGAGGGTGCTGTTAATGTACTGTGTGTGAGGGTGCTGTTTGTGTGTGAGGGTACTGGTAGTGTGCTGTGTGTGTTTGTTAGGGTCCTGTTTGTGTTTGTGAGGGTACTGTTAGTGTGCTGTGTGTGTGTGAGGGTGCTGTTTGTGTGCTGTGTGTGAGGGTGCTGTTTGTGTGCTGTGTGAGGGTGCTGTGTGTGTTTGTGAGGGTGCTGTGTGAGGGTGCTGTGTGGGTGCTGTATGTGTTGGTGCTGTGTATGTCTGTGGGTGCTGTGTGTGTGGGTGCTGTATGTGTGTGGGTGCTGTATGCTGTGTATGTATGTGTGTGGGTGCTGTATGTGTGTAGGTGCTGTGTATGTCTGTGGATGCTGTATGTGTGTGGGTGCTGTATGTGTGTAGGTGCTGTGTATGTCTGTGGGTGCTGTATGTGTGTTGGTGCTGTGTATGCCTGTGGGTGCTGTATGTGTGTTGGTGATGTGTATGTCTGTGGGTGCTGTAAGTGTGTTGGTGCTGTGTATGTCTGTGGGTGCTGTATGTGTGTTGGTGCTGTGTATGTGTGTGGGTGCTGTATGTGTGTGGGTGCTGTATGTGTGTAGGTGCTGTGTATGTCTGTGAGTGCTGTATGTGTGTGGGTGCTGTATGTGTGTAGGTGCTGTGTATGTCTGTGGGTGCTGTATGTGTGTAGTTGCTGTATGTGTGTAGTTGCTGTATGTGTGTTGGTGCTGTGTATGTGTGTGGGTGATTGTGGGGGGTGGAGGGTGAGGTACATTACTTAATATCCCCCCTCCCTTCTTACTTTATGTAGGGAGGGGGGATTCTTGTTGCTGCCTTCCCTGGTGGTCCAGTGGAGGTGGGGGCAGATTACTTAATATCCCCCCTCCCTTCTCACGTTATGCCTGGGAGGGGGGATCCTTTCTGCCATCCCTGGTGGTCCAGTGGTGAGTGAACTCTAGCCTGCGGGGCTAGAGTTCACTCTCGTGAGATCTGAGTGCTGCCGTGGTAACGCTCAGATTTCGTGAGAGGAACCCGGAGGAGCTGCTGGCAATAGCTCCCCGGGTCCTCTCCTGCCTCCCTATCTGCATGTGGGTCGGTGGGGAGGGAGGCTGAGAGCAGAGCCGGCGCTTGGATAGCGCCGGCTCTGCATGAGCCGACAGGTGAGATCCTGTTCAGCTGCTCCAACGGAAAGATAACACTTTTTCACCCACTTACTGCTTAACTGCATGCACTGGACTTACTAGTGGTTATCATTATATTTTATACCACTTCTATTTTTCACAAAGATTCTTCTTAAAACCTTTTATCAAATAAACTATATTTCCTTTGCAGCTGAGTTGCTGGTGGCAAGTTGAACAGACCAGTGTGGCTGGTGGATTAAGGCAGGCCACTGGCAAGCAGTTGGTTGGTCCACTGCTCACGTCTGGGCCTCCTTCTCTCGGCTTGGCTGCAGTCCTTTGGGCCTGACCTGTGGCCCTCTTGGGTCTGAGCTGTGGACCCCTTGGGCCTGGGCTGTGGACTCTTTGGCTGTGGCCTGCTTAGGTCTTTATTGTGGCCCCTTGGGCCTTGGCTGTGGCCCCCTTGGGCCTGGGATGTGGCCTCCTTAGGCCTTTATTGTGGCCCCTGAGCCTGTGCCTCTTGGACCTTGATGTGGCCCCCTTGGACCTTTGATGTGGCCCCCCTTGGGCCTCTCAAGTGTGGCCCCCTCGGGCCTCTCACATGTGGCCCCCTTGGAACTTTGAAGTGGCCCCTTTGGACCTTTGATGTGTGCCCCCCTTAGGCCTCTCATGTGTAGCCCCCTTAGGCCTCTCATGTGTGGCCAACCGTTAGGCCGCTCATGTGTGGCCAACCCTTAGGCCTCTCATGTGTGGCCTCCCTTAGGCCTCTCATGTGTGGCCCACCTTAGGACGCTCATGCAGGGTCGGCCTTAGGCCTTTAGGTGCCCTGTGCAAAAAATCTTCACAGCGCCCCCCCTGTCATCCATGTATGATGTAATGTTTGTGATGTCTGTGTATGTGATAGGTGTGATAACTGTGTGTGATATGTATGCTATGTGTTGGGTGTGTGTGATATCTGTAATGGGTGTATTAACTGTGTGAGATATGCGTGTATTGGTTGTATGTGATATTTGGAAGACATCCACACCCACACAGGCAGGCAGTCACACACACACACACACAGACAGTCACACACAGGCAGACAGTCACACACAGAGGCAGGCAGTCACACACAAACACACACAGAGGCAGATGGCATACACACACATAGAGGCAGGCAATCACACACACAGAGGCAGGCAGTCACACACACAGAGGCAGGCAGTCACACACACACACACACACACAGGCAGACAGCCACACAAACACACACAGGCAGGCAGCCATACACACACAGGCATTTGTGAGCTGTGCAGCCACATGGCGCCCCCTGCTCCATGGCGCTCTGTGTGGCCACACAGCTCGCACACCCCTAAGACCGGCCCTGCTCTCATGTGTGGCCTCCATTAGGCCTCTCATGTGTGACTCCCCTTAGGCTTCTCATGTGTGGCCCCCCGTAGGCCTCTCATGTGTGGCCCGCCTTAGCCCTTTGATGTGTGGCCCCCTTGGACCTTTGAAGTGGCCCCTTTGGACCTTTGACTTTTTAGTGGCCCCCTTGGGACTTTGCTGCCCCAGCCCCCCACCTTTTATTTGCTTAGTGTCCGGCTGAGGTCTTGGCTCTCCTTCCATTTTGCCTCTGTCCTCCTGAGACTGACTGCTTCCCTGTCTGTGGTGTCAGACAGAGAGCCGCAAGATCACGCGGCCTCTTGCGCGATGTCACCTCTCAGCCCACCCAGTAGGCGGAGCATGATGAGGTAAGTAATGCCGGACCCCCAGGACTACGAATAGCGAGATGGCCGTCTTTCAAAAGTGAAAGACGGCCAAAACTTGTTTTTAAATTGCACATTATTAAAGAGTTGGCCTGGATGGCGCGACCCACCGGGCAAATGCCCGTTGGCCAGTCCGGGCCTGCCCATAGGAAAGCATTGAACCAATGCTTTCCTATGGGGATTTCACTGATGCTGGATGTCCTCATGCAGAGCGTGAGGACGTCCAGTGTCGTTTATTGGACCCAGAGTCTTGTAAACTCCTAGAAGCACCTCTAGTGGCTGCCTTAGTGCTGCAATGTAAACATTGCAATTTTAGAGAAACTGTAATGTTTCACATTAAAGGACTAAGGGGGACAGAGGTACAGCATCCAGACCACTTCAATAAGATTAAGTTGTCTGCGTGCCTATAGTGTCCCTTTAAACTAAGGTTATTACTAGATTATAACAAATAATAATAAAAAATAAAAAAGTAGGCAAAAAAAAATTCAGCTAATTGAACACTCATCCTCATTCAGGAAAACATTCCAAGCAGACACATTGAGGACAACACAAGGTAGGGAAATTTAAATGTGATACTTCTTTTGAAAATAGTTTCATCATATATCTAGGTAAACTACCTTTGAATCACATTATATGTGCAAATCCTATGAAGTTGCATCATATGGAAATTGCAGAAATATATAATTTCATAACTTGCAAGGCTTATAATAAAACGTGTGTGAAGAACAGTGTGTTCTCTTAAAGGAACTATGAGGAAATACTATATTATAATATATAACAAGCAGAAATATATGTTACAAAACATATATTAAAACTAGTGATGTCCCGAACGGTTCACCGCGAACGTTTCGCCACGGACTCATCATTGAGTAAACTTTGACCCTGTACCTCACAGTCAGCAGACACATTCCAGCCAATCAGCAGCAGACCCTCCCTCCCAGACCCTCCCACCTCCTGGACAGCATCCATTTTACATTCATTGTGAAGCTGCATTCTTAGTGAGCTGTCCAGGAGGTGGGAGGGTTTGGGAGGGAGGGTCTGCTGCTGATTGGCTGGAATGTGTCTGCTGACTGTGAGGTACAGGGTCAAAGTTTACTCAATGATGAGTCCACGACGAACCGTTCGTGGCGAACTGTTCGCGAACCGTTCGGCGAACCGTTCGGGACATCACTAATTAAAACCAATCATTATCATAAAGGCACCATAAAAATAGGGGGTGAAGCGTTCCTCCAGGTGTGCTGTATTGACGATGGTTTCCGAGAAGTTGAGAATCATTAAAGCCAGTTTCATAGTAATAGAAGTCATCGCTCGGTTGGGTGGGTACGGCCGGCATTGCAGGGGTAAGAATGACAGAAGTTCACATTTTGATTGCAGGTTTGTCCATTAAAGAATATGCATGATAGTTGTGCTACGGTTTTGTAATTCTGTTGCTCAAATAACATTCAACAGTTGAATGTTATGAATTTTTTTTTTTACTACTCCTTTTCTATTAATTGTATTTTTTGTTTTTGTTTATGTATGTAGTCCAATTTGTGATTTAATACACTGGCTCAATAATTAACCTAAATGAATCAGCTGATTTTCATGAATTTGTATAAATAATACTGTTATTAACTAACCTGGTAATTATTGACAATCAGCAAGAAAATTGTAGGTAAATATAGTCAATTGAGAAATAGCTGAAAAAAGAGTGTGAACTTCGTAGATGTACTACCACCACAAAGATCACTCTTGGTTTCCAGAATGGAGTGCGAATCTGGTAGCCTATCGCCGCTACATTGATGACATTTTCTTTATCTGGAATGGAGATGAGTCATCACTCCAATTATTTTTGGAACACCTAAACAACAATAATTGGGGCATTAAGTTGACTAGCGCTTATAGTAAAGTCAGTGTTAGTTTCTTAGATCTTAACATATATATAGAAGAAAATGTTATCAAAACAAGCACTTTTAAAAAAAATATAGATGTGAACAGCTATATTCAAGGTAATAGCTGCCACTATTCTCCATGGCTATTGAATGCCCCAAAATCTCAATTTATGAGGATTAAAAGAAATTGCACAGATAAAGACAAATTCCATGAACAAGCGCAAAAAATTATTGGAGACTTCAGCGATAAAGGCTATGATGATTCACTTCTGACAAAAGCACTTCATGAAGTCAGCCTACAGGATAGAGAATCACTAATCCAATATAAAAACAAATCATTAAACACAAATTGGGATAATGTCCCTTTCATAGGTGATTTTAACTGTCAAAGCAATCAACTTAAGAAAATTCTGACAAAACATTGGTCTATTTTGAAAAGTGATGAGGTTTTGAAACAAATCCTTCCAGATAGACCAAAAATTGTCTATAGGGTGGTCCCTAATTTGAAACGTAATTTGACTCAAAATTACTCTTCATTGAAGACTACCATCAATAAAAATCCGTTTAAGGAAAGCACCGGTTTTTATGGATGTGGAATCTGTGGTGCTTGTAAAAACACAAATAGCTCTAAATGTCACATAAAAGATTTCCAACACCCTCAGGACAAAAATAAAAAATTTAAAATCAGAGAAATTATCACGTGTTATACAAAACATGTTATTTACATGATAAAATGCACATGTGGCCTCACCTATATAGGGCGCACTACTCGCCCTCTACAGGTGAGGATACAGGAGCACGTACGCAATATTAGAAATGGATATACTCAGCATAGTCTATCACTACATTTTAAAATGAAACACAATAGCGATCCGAAGCAAATTACTTTTTTGGGGATCCAGAAAGTCAGCTTCAATTGGAGAGGTGAAGATAACATTTAAAAGATGGGTCAGATGGAAATGAAGTGGATTTTCAATTTAAATAGCTTACAGCCACATGGTCTAAATAATGATTTTGAGCTTTGTAATTTTTTGTGATAAATTCCCCCTTTTTTTTCTCCTGCAATATTTATTGTATATACGTTTATAGTTGATTTATTTAGGTTATGCTGTGTATAATTATGGTCTTTTCTGTTTTTTTTTTCTTATGTATTATCACTAACGTGATGTTTCGGTCCTCACGACCAATGGACTGTATGTATTAAGCATTTGCCCACATCCAAGATGGCTCCTCGGACATTGCAGTAACTTCTAAGCATGCTCCGAGTGATGACAGCTAAAACAGAAGACACACCTTCACAAGACATCCTTTTGGTGATTGAACCACCGTCTGATTTTTTTTCCTTTCGCAATATTTATTGTATATATGTTTATAGTTGATTTATTTAGGTTATGCTGTGTATAACTATGCTCTTTTCTGGGTTTTTTTCTTATGTGCTACCACTAATATGTGATGTTTATGTATTCAGTCCTCATGACCAATGGACTGTATGTATTAAGCATTTGCCCACATCCAAGATGGCTCCTCGGACATTGCAGTAACTTCTAAGCATGCTCCGAGCGATGACAGCTAAAACAGAAGACACACCCCTACAAGACATCCATTTGGTGATTGAACCACCGTTTGATTGGCTGGCGAAGATTAACTCACCCAATTGGAGTGATGGCACCAGTATTTAAACATTGTCAATTCAGGAAGCAAACTTATCCGACTGAGAAAGCTCCCCGGCGAAACGCGTCTCGGATTTGAGGAAGACCACTCTGGAGACTTTTATTTTGGTATTTTACTGATTATAGCTTTTATCTATTACTTTGTTTTTTAAAATAAATTTGTTATTTTTATATATACATACCTGTGAGTGGATCTTCTACTGCTTCCTGTATTTCATCAAAGAAGGGTAGTGCCTCCCTTAAAGGCACAGTGGCGCATATATATAGAGCCTAATATTATCGTCTCTATTTCAGGTGAGCACATTCACATGATTTTTTGTCATCATTCTTCCTACCATACATATTTGCACTAGGAATTCTACCTCTTTTCTCTTCCATATATTCTGCGAGCTGCATACAGGGAGGAGGTCTGGTATTGCCTAAATATACCCAAGCTGTTGTGATTCGAGCCAATCCTTAGGCTCTGTGCCATGTGAGTTGGACTTACACTCTCCTCCATTCCATACACATTTTACAATCATTCTGCACTATGATGTGTATTTCTCTGTTCTAGATTATATATGCTGTTAAAGTGATATATACGATATTTATATAGGGGTAAGATATTTCCCTATCTCTAGCGCTCCACAGAGTGATCTTTGTGGTGGTAGTACATCTACAAAGTTCACACTCTTTTTTCACCTATCTGTTTGTGTAGGATTGGGATACCTGCACGTGTGTTGAGCTGATGTTTTTAATTTGCATTTCCACTAAGCGCCTATTTACACTGAGCACTTTTTTCTGAGAAATAGCTGAGTTGGCGAATATTTCAATTATGGATACACATGAAATTGCCTTGTCAATTCTTGACATGTGCATAGTCGTCCTTTTCGCATATGTCAAAAAACCATAACCTTAAAGTGGATAAAATATCATGGCTTTAATAAAATATATATATAGATATAAAGTATGATAAAGATGAGAGCACTCAATGGATTTCAAATCAAAAAAAGTTATTTTGAATGTTGCCAATTTGGATCAACGTTTCGATCAAACAGGTCTTTATCAATGACCCCCAATGTCTTCTTCAGCCCCCGCCACAGCTCAGATCTTTACTCTTTAAGATGAGTGCCCCACCCCTGCATAAACAATGTACGCTGCAAGCCTTCCTGTAAACCCATATTAAGAAAGTCGTTACGCCAGAGAGGTGCACCCTATTATGCCGAAAATAACCGGGAAGCCTGGCTTCCAATTCAATATATCTCACAACTATAACCCCAGTGTGTCTAATGAAAATGGACAACATCTTATTAACTTTCCCCCTGCTCCTAGCTACTGCCACAGATTCCCTAGCATGACGCCAATGGAACCGGGGCACCATCTCTGACCAAATTAAAACTACACCAGGCACCATAGCCCTCAACTTATCTTATGTCCGGCTTCACACAGTGCACTAGTTCCCTTTGGGGAACCTGACCCAAAGCGTTACCCCCTGCATGTAGAAACAGAAAATCAGATGACTGCCCTGAACCTAAACGCCTAAAAAATCTCTGAACAAACTTCCCTCCATCCAAAACCCCAATAGCCAAACCAATATAATTGGAGCAAGCGCTGTGGAAAGCCCAGCTGTCCTCCGTGATGTCTAACTGCGGCTCTCTTGTGCGTCCAATGGAATCTGCTTTTCGTCTGTTACCAATTCATCCCGGATGCCTACGTGACAGGCCTATGAACCGGAGGGACCGACACACAGGAAATCATCCAGATAATGAACCATGAACTTGTTACCCGATTCTACCTTGACCACCCATTCCAGGAAAGTACATATTTTTTCAAAATAAGCACACGAGATGGAGCATCCCATGGGCAAACATCATAGGTCTACAAAGTACAAGTACCCTCAGAGTAACAGCCAAGAAGATGGTGACAATCGGGATGAATTGGTAACAGACGAAAAGCAGATTCCATGTCAGCTTTAGTCATCAACGACGAGCGTGTCTAACCAACTCAACAGCATTGTCGAATGATGCGTAGGACACCGAGCATAAGGCCGCATTAATGTCGTCATTAACTGACGACCCATTCGGATATGAAAGATGATGTATAAGACGGTACTTCCCTGGCTCCCTTTTTGGCACAATTCCTAAAGGAGAAACACAAAGATCAGGCATAGTGGGGTCGTCGAAGGGCCCCGCCATCCTTCCCAATTGGGCCTCTTTACCTAATTTAACCTTTACCACATCCGGAAATTCGACTACCGATCTTGAATTATGGAACCGGCGCTCCAGGACCCTATCCTAAAATGGAATGATGAAACCATGCGTAAAACCTTCCATCAGTAGCGCCGCATCTGCCTGGTTAACATAGCAGTTTAGTCACAGCAGCATCGTGCCGACCCTCACCATCGTTGATCCCAGTGGAAGTGGATGGTGCCGTGGTACTGTCCCCCCCCCCGCCGCTGACTTCCCTCATTTGAAGCAACAGTTGAGGCCATGCGCCCCTCCGCAGCCGGGACATTTGTGCTTAAATCTATAAGTTGAGCCCCAATT